GCGGCCTGTCGGGCAGGACGGTCGGTCAGGACGGTCGGTCAGGACGGTCTGTCAGGACGGTCGGTCAGGACCGTTGGTGAAGTAAGGATGTGTTCAGTTGAGGAAGAATAGAGTGGGGGGGTCTCTGTCCTTGACTGCAGTGACAGGAAGGGGGGGACGAGGAAACTGTCCCGTCCTCGCGGTGGAGACGGTGGTTTCTCTGCTCCTCCAGATAAAAGTCTGATGTTTGAGGTTTGAGGGACGTGTGGTCGTAAATCCACAACATCGGAGCCACATCTTTGACATCCTGAAGGAAAAGGAACTGAAAACCAAGAGTCTCACCCACTTCCTCACCCACTTCCTCACCCACTGAGTGATGATCATCATCTTTACTTCCACCGTGGGACCGACGTACACAGATGTAGTAAACTGTAGTAGTTGTAGACAGAGTACACACACACACACACACACACACACACACACTGCTTTAATAGCGCCTACTAGAGGACAGAGAGGGAGCAGCTCACCAACACTTCCAGAGAACAGAAACAAACCAACAGTCCTTTTATCTTCAGTCCTTTTTACTCAGCAAAGGTGACCAGCAGATGGCAGTAGTTCTCATTTCACAACAAGACACCGCAGCACTACCGCCAGTGCAGTGTGTTCTATATGCACTCAATGCAAACTGTATGGAATACTGAGGTGGAGTTTCCTCTGACAAACTCTGATGTCAGCCGGAGCTGCGATGAGTAGAATTAGGAGTACATTTACACAGAAATACGCAAATACTGGTAGAAAAGTACTTGAGTAATTCTCTGTCACTTGCAGACTGGAGAAAACAAGGAAGGAAATATTCATGTCAAGTGTTCTCTTGTGGTGCCTCAGCTCACCGACTCATATTGCATCTTGAGAAATAATCAATTCCCAGATAGCACGGGCCTGTGCAATTCATTTTAATAAGCTTTTGTCATTGTCTGGCACACATGCATACGCTCACTTGCTCTCACTCACACACACACACTCACACAATAGAATTTCAGATTTCACAGAGTGCAAACTGCAGACTTATATCTAATGCAAATCAACCAGTGATCACAGAAACGAAATGTTTTCTCAACTCCTAACAATCTCACACACTGTGATTCTGACACCTTCTTTTTTTAAATCCTGAAACATTAAGAGAAGAAGAAGAAGAAGAAGAAGAAGCAGAGAGTGAAGCGGCCTCCACGGCTGAGAGGTGTGTGTGTGTGTGTGTGTGTGTGTGTGTGGGAGGGGGGGGGTCTAACAGGCACAGCCCCCCTGGCTGTCTGAGGGTGAGTCTTTCAGGGCCTGGCCCCGGTGGTTGGACACCAGGTCGGCCTCTCCCTCCAGACTCTGGCTCATCTTCTCACAGATGACGTCCACCAGTCGCTCAAACACCTGCTTCACGTTGACGTTGTCTTTGGCGCTGGCCTCAAAAAACTGGAAGCCTGGAGGCGAGAGGAGACACGAGGAGTTAACTGTGATGTCATCACGTCACCGCCCAGTGAACCACAGACTTCAGTCTGTACTGGGGTTTACCCAGGTCCTCCGACAGCCTCTGTCCGTCCTCCGTCGGTACCAGCCGGTCGTCCTCCAGGTCACACTTGTTTCCTACGAGGATCACCTGAGCGTTGTCCCAGGAGTACGTCTTGATCTGCGTCGCCCTGGTCAACGACACAGCAGTGGTTTAGGACCAATCAGAGATGACCCTCGGTGACAGCAACAGACCAGACACACACACACACACACACACACACACTCACCAGTCCTGCACTGCACTGAAGGAGTCCTGGTTGGTGATGTCATACATGAGCAGGAAGCCCATGGCTCCTCTGTAGTAGGCCGTGGTGATGGTGCGGTACCGCTCCTGACCTGCTGTGTCCTGGAGGAGAACAGTAAACAACAGTGATGTGGTTCAACCTGTGGTTCAACCTGTGGCTCAACCTGTGGCTCAACCTGTGGCTCAACCTGTGGCTCAACCTGTGGCTCAACCTGTGGTTCAACCTGTGGCTCAACCTGTGGCTCAACCTGTGGTTCAACCTGTGGCTCAACCTGTGGCTCAACCTGTGGCTCAACCTGTGGCTCAACCTGTGGCTCAACCTGTGGCTCAACCTGTGGCTCAACCTGTGGTTCAACCTGTGGCTCAACCTGTGGCTCAACCTGTGGTTCAACCTGTGGCTCAACCTGTGGCTCAACCTGTGGTTCAACATGTGGCTCAACCTGTGGATCAACCTGTGGTTCAACCTGTGGGCTCATAATATATGCAGTGTGCTTTATCTGATACCAGAAGGGGGCAGTGTTGCTCTAACTATGACACATTCACACACGGAGGAAAACCACAGTTTTAATGTCAGAGTGATTGAGATTTTAACTTCTCAGACTTTACTGTTTGGGTTCAAAGGTCAGCAGAGTGAGGGGGAAACGAAAAACTGAATCAACACGAGGAGAGTCGGCGACCACGGTGGGAAGACTGAGGCGTGGAAAAAATGGAAGCGATGACGTCATGTGTGGCCGTACTTTTATATCAGATCTGTCTCCTGACATTTCTGTCTCCTGTCTTATGTCTCCTCTCTCCTGTCTCACATTTCTGTCTTCTGTCTCCTGTCTCCTGTCTCACATTTCTGTCTTCAGTTGAAGACAAACTACAAATGAAGGGAAGTGAAAAGGCGGAGGTTTTTAATTTGACTTTTAGTTTGGTTTTAAAACCCAACAGGTTTCGACTGATCTCCCAGAATGCTCTGAGGCAGAGGTAGCTGAGTGACGACCCTGAACGACTGCTCCTCATCAACCAGTCCAGGACTGGAACCACCTGTGTGTGTAGACCTAATCAATCTGGAACAGATGGAGTCGCTCTTTATTATTGATTACTATCATCAATACTGAAGCGTTGGTCACGTGACACGTGTGGTGGATTTACCAAAACAACAACAAGACAACAACAAGACAACAACAAGACAACAACAAGACAACAAGACAACAACAAGACAACAACAAAACAACAACAAGACAACAAGACAACAACAAAACAACAACAAATCAACAACAAGACAACAACAAAGGTAAATCCCGTCAACCGTCCACTGAGAGACCTTTGACCTTTCAGCTCTGCTTCATTTTAATGGGGAAAAACATGAGGTGAGTTTTGCAGCAGCCGTGGGCAGATAATCACCAGCCCACCACAGAACCCCCCCACCAACA